GAATGAATGAAGGAATGAATGAATGAAGGAATGAATGAAGGAATGAAGGAAGGAATGAATGAAGGATTGAATGAATGATTGAAGGAATGAATGAAGGAATGAAGGAAGGCTTGAAGGAAGGAATGAATGAAGGCTTGAAGGAATGAATAAAGTAAGGAAGGAATGAATGAAGGAAGGAATGAATGAAGGAATGAAGGAATGAAGGCTTGAAGGAAGGAATGAAGGAAGGAATGAAGGAAGGCTTGAAGGAATGAAGGAAGGAATGAAGAAAGGAATGAAGGAAGGAATGAAGGAAGGAAGGAATGAATGAAGGAAGGAATGAAGGAAGGAATGAAGGCTTGAAGGAAGGAATGAAGGAAGGCTTGAAGGAATGAAGGAAGGAATGAAGGATTGAAGGAATGAAGAATTGAAGGCTGGAAGGCTTGAAGGAAGGAATGAAGGAATGAATGAAGGATTGAAGGAATGAAGGGTTGAATGAAGGAATGAATGAAGGGATGAATGAATGAAGGAATGAATGAATGAAGGGATGAATGAATGAAGGAAGGAAGGATTGAATGAAGGGATGAAGGAAGGAATGAAGGAAGGAATGAAGGAAGGAATGAATGAAGGATTGAAGGAATGAGTAAATGCATGACCGAATGAGTGAATGAAGGAAGGAAGGAATGAGTAAATGCATGACCGAATGAGTGAATGAAGGAAGGAAGGAATGAGTAAATGAATGACGGAATGAGTGAATGAATGAATGTATTAACATGTTGTCCGTTATGTTCATGCTGCGTTTGCTGTCAGCGTCTCAAACTGGAGATCTGCTGTTCAGCCTGGAGAGTGTTGTTTACAAGGATCCTCACAATGGTAACACACACACACACACACAGTAACACACAGGATGATGTGTAACACGGTCTTTATAGACCACATTGTGTTGGTAAACATAAGGCGTATTGTTGTGGGCGGAGCAGATGAGAGCTCCGGAGAGCTGGAACATTAGCTTTCCTGAGGTTAGCAAGAAGAAGGCTAAGCTAAACAATTAACGCCATATTGTATTTTATTTTCTGGCACAGAACAACACAGCTTCTGTCTCTGTGTCCTGCTTCCTGTCTGTGTTTTTCGGGCTTTCTGTCACTAACTGCTCTCTCTCTCTTTAACGCTGCCAAAAGTCCCAAAAGGATCTAAAAAACATAAAAAGCCTAGAAAAGGCTTAAAGAAGCTGAAACGGCATGAGAACAAAGCAGGTGAGGTTTTTCTGATTTCACTGTGTTTCACCTGGTCCAGGTCCGGACGTCCTGGTCTCAGGTGTCTGTTCAGGTCCAGGTCTGATCAGCCAACAGACATCCTGGTCTCAGGTGTCTGTTCAGGTCCAGGTCTGGACGTCCTGGTCTCCAGGTGTCTGTTCAGGTCCAGGTCTGATCAGCTGACAGACATCCTGGTCTTGGGTCTCAGGACTGGTCTCTCTTCATGGTCTTGTGTTGCTTTCAGAAAAGCCTCAGGAGAACAAGAAGGACACGTTCGCGGAGAAACTGGCGACTCAGGTGATCAAAAACCTGCAGGTGAAGATCAGCAGCATCCACCTGCGCTACGAGGACGACGTGAGTACCGGTCCAGGTTTTGGTTCTGATCTAGGTTGAGGTTGAGGTTCAGGCTCTGTGTTTTTGTCCAGGTGTACACATTTCAGTGTGATGTCATTGTTCTGACGGACAGGTTGACCAGGTCTAACCTGTGAGTGTCATGTGACTGTTTGTTTCAGCTGTCAGACCCACAGCGCCCCCTGTCTATGGGAGTCACTCTGTCAGAGCTCAGCCTGCAGGTAACTCCTCCTACTTCTGTACTCTCCTCTTAAAGTTGCATTCTCTCGAGTGTCCACCAGGGGACGACTCCCGTGGTTGTATAGAAGTCTATGAGAAAATTACTACTTCTCTCTTGATTTATTACCTCAGTAAACATTGTAAACATGAGTTTATGGTCTCAATCTCTAGTTTCAAGTCTTCTTCGATACAGCATGATGTTCATTTAGTAAATTATGTTGTTCACTGGTTGCAAAAAAACAAGGTGGCAAAAGCCGTAATCCAAGATGGCAACGGTGAAATCTCTGAATTTGTCCACAAACCCATGAGAGACGTCACAATGACTACGTCCACTTATTGTATACAGACTATGGTGTGAGTGACCTGCTGTTTGTTTCTTTTTTTTCAGACTACTGATGAAAACTGGAAGTCGTGCATCCTGAACGAAGCAGCAAAGATCATCTATAAGGTGAAAGGGGTTACTAGTAACTAGTACTTACTAGATGTTCCCCAGTAAATGTCTCTAGAAGTGTATGATTCAACGTTTTCCCATTGGTTTCAGTAAACAAAAGTGATTGCACCCTAAAATGAGCTGAAGTTGAACGTTTGTGTCACAGTGTTCTGTGATGTGATTGGTTGGTCAGTTTGATGGGGCGATGTAGAAACAATCGGCCTCTGTGACTGTAGTTTTTCATTGTTTTTGACTTCTTTGTGTGTTTGTTTGTTTGTGTCAGCTCGGCCGTCTGGATTGTCTCTGCGCCTACTGGAACGTCAACAGTCCGATCTTTTACAAAGGATCATGGGAAGACATTGTGGTTAGTCAATGCTGTTTGTCTTGTTTTAGACAAAAACAATCTCATTAGTCAGCAGAGTTACAACTATGGTTACAACCAACCAACCAAGACCAACCAAGACCAACCAACCGACCGACCGACCAACCAACCAACCAACCAACCAAGACCAACCAACCGACCGACCAACCAACCAACCAAGACCAACCAACCGACCGACCGACCGACCGACCGACCAAGACCGACCGACCAAGACCGACCAACCAACCAAGACCAACCAACCAAGACTAACCAACCGACCGACCAACAGACCGACCGACCAACAGACCGACCAACCAACCGACCGACCAACCAAAACAACCAACCAAGACCAACCGACCGACCAACCAAGACCAACCGACCGACCAACCAACCAAGACCAACCAACCAATCAATCGACCAAACGATCGACCGACTAAGACCAACTAACAAACCAATCAATCCATTTTTGTTTTCTGGTCAAAAGAAAAGAAAACACAACTGCCAGAGTCCTCACAAGATCTATGTTGATGTATAAAGTTTCATTTTACATAAACATAACCATACATAAACTCTGTGATGGACAGATAACGTGTTGAAGTAATAAGGAATCAGGATCGCACATTATTTGATAGCTTATGGAGCTACGGTAGAGCGATTACATATTCGTGACATAAATGTTATCATAATAATTATTATAATTTGTAATAATTTGTAATCGAACTCTGTTCTTTATCACATTCACTGTTTCTGTGTTTTAAACTCTCTACTGCAACTAATAATCCTCCTCCTCCTCCTCCTCCAGAATCAGCTGAAGTGTGGAATCAGCAGTAAAGATCAGGAGCTTCCTCACTATCAGTACAGTGAGTTCATCACTTTATTATTATTTATTAATATTAACCGCTCAGAACAAAGACACATTTCTTCAGTGAACATCTGGAGGAAGATTTAGATGTTTGACTGAAACTTGTTTTAGTCTCATTGTGAAACAAAACACAAAGTTGTCAATTATAGTTTTTGTCTCGTTTTTCTGTGGGCACAGTTTGACCCTCACAGGGACCTGTAGCCTGCACATAAACACTGAACATAATGTGTTTGTTTTCAGCTGGGTGTTTCATCCATATCAACACTTCCTTTCTCACTTTGTTTGTAGTTTTCAAGCCGATCTTCGCTTCGGCTAAAATGTGCATCAACCCGAACGCTGAGCTGGAGCTGAAAACTCCAAAAGCAAACCTTCACCTGGAGGTCCAGAACATCGCCATAGAGATGACCAAACCACAGGTAACGTGATGTGAGATGGTCAGAAGTATCACTAACAGCCAGGGACAAGGACAACAAAACAGATATTATAAACTAAAAGCTCAGTAAAGCTCTCCGGTTCAATAACAAAGAAAAGCAGTGAGAACGTTTGAGAAGTTACTTTTGAGATGTTCAAGTTCCTCCTGACGAGGAGAGAAAACTGAAGCACCAGAGAGCCGGACCGGTGCCACAGATCAGGCTCGCAGAATCAGTAATTTCTTTCAAATCACTTCTTAAAACACACTTTTATTTTTAACGAGCTTTCTGTTCTAGTTATTATCGTCTTGTTTTTGCTGATTTTGTCTGTCAAAGCATTTTGTAAACTCTGTTTTTGAATTTGCTGTATAAATAAAGTTATTATTATTATTATTATCTTGACGAGTCAAAGAGAGACAGACGGGTGAGACAAGTGTGTTGATGTGTTGTGGTCCTCTGCAGTACGTGACCATGGTGGAGGTGCTGGAGTCCATCGACTACATGGTGAAAAACGCCCCCTACAGGAAGTTCAGGCCGGACGCCCCCGTCCACCAAAACGCCAAACTCTGGTGAGTTCAACACAAATCTTAATGTCAGAGAGAAAGACGAACAATTCAATGTAGAGTCTAGAATTTGACTTTGACTTCCTGTCAGCGCCCCCTACAGGCTCCAGAGTTCAGTACAGACCTCCAGTCTGCACTCAAGGTGCAAAGTCTCACCTGAAGGTTTTGGGGGGGTGTTTGTTTCTTTCCCGTGCTCCTGCCAGGTGGAGGTACGGCTTCAACAGCATCCTGGAGGTCCACATCAGACGCTTGGGTCACATGTGGTCCTGGTCCAGCATCAGAAAGCACAGAGAGAACCTGAAAGCCTACAAGACCGCCTACAAGGCCAAACTGCTGAGCCAGAACAAGCCGAGCCAGGACACCGAGCGACACATCCAGGTGCCCCTGAACGCACCACGAACGCAACATCTGGCTTAATCAGCACAAATACCTGACTGCACCCAACACACGCAATGTATCTGAGATATATATAATATATTCTGAGTATTTGAAGAAGCTGAGGTTTGCTACCGGCCTGAACACCGTCAGTAAAACAAATGCACTAGATTCAACCACAGATCTGAAGCTCTGCTCGTACAGTCTCGGGAATAACTGGAGTTTGTTTGTCTCACCAGGATCTGGAGAAAGTTCTGGACGTCTTCAACATCACATTGATCCGGCAGCAGGCCCACATGGAGGTAAACACCATCCCTCACCAGAGTCCAGTTTAACTAGAGCCTCCTCTTCCTCCTCCTCCTCACTCTTCTTCCTCTTCCAGGTGATCAGGTCGGGACAGAAGGTGGTGGGGAAGAAGGCGGCGGGGGGGCAGAAGCCTGGAGGAGGAGGAGGATTCTTCAGCAGCTTCTTTGGTAAAAAGGCCAAGAAGGAGGAGCAGGAGCCAGAGGAGAACAAGGAGACGGAGAGTAAGTGGAAATAACGGCATTGAAATTGAGTTGTTTTCCATATTCGGTGTATATAATTACACATATTATATTTATGTGTAATTATCTTCAATGACTTCAAAGTGAGAAGACACACCTCTCATCGTCATCATCAAGTTTATTCAAACTCCAAACCTTTATTGGAGCTATGATGAGTAATAATAAGATCATAATGAACTAGAGAGTCAGCCATGACTGGAGGCGCGGACTCAGTGGAATATAATCTCACTTTTATTTTCTCTTTTCTAAGAAACAGCTGATCAGAAACAATTCAGTTTGTTTAACTCAACCAGTTTGGAGCAAATAAATCCAGGATTAGTCTCAGTCGGGCGAGTTCTAATAGTTCTTTCATGTCCGCTAGTGTTGTCCATGTTTCATGTCTGTTTGGAGACGAAGACGATATGAATGAATATCCAGGAAGACGTCCACGTCATAAAACAGCTGATCGGTGATTTGACTTGAATGTTCGCTGCGTCACAACTCATTCAGGTGTTTCTTCACATCCTGTTTAGTGCATCAACTCTTATCTTCTAATGGCATATTTCAAAATGTGCATAAAAATGTGAATGGAAAACACGGCTCATGTTAAATACAAAAAACTAATTTAGTCATTTAAGTCTTTAAGTCTTTTACATTTTTCAAAAAATCCTTAAAGCTAGTACAATAATAATAATATTGATAATACAAGTTGACGTAAAGACAGTGTTGGAGGAAGTTTTCAGATCCTTTACTGCAGTAAAAGTATTAATACCTCACTTAAAAAGTACTGTAAAAATGTTTCTCATGTAAAAGTACGTCAGTATAATCAATAAAATGTATAAAAACTGTGACTGTTCTATTAAATATTCTTTCATTAAACTATTCATGGGTTTATTACGAGAGTAGTTTGTTATGCTGGAGCTCTTTTTAACTTGTTAACTAATGATTATGCTCATTATTCTCTCAGCTGGACTTCTATGAACTCTTGGGAATATTTTTGAAACTCTTCATATTTTTTGTGTGTAAAAATCTTAATTTGTAAAGTGACTAAAGGTAGAAGTAGAAAGTACCATGAAAATACAAGACTAGAGTAAAGTACAAGTACCCCTAGTGATGTACTGAAGTGCAGCACTTGATTAAAAAGTACTTGCAACATTGTGTATTACTCCTCTGGTGTTCAGGTTCGGGGTTGGACGACCTCCTGACGGCTGAGGAGAAAGAAAAACTTTACACTGCCATCGGCTACAGCGGCAGCTCTCACAACCTGACTTTACCCAAGCAGGTCAGCACACACACACACATACACACACACACACACACACATGGAAGTAGTGTTAGAATCTAATGGACAGGTTTCTATGAAATGACCTGATCTCCTTCCTGCTCCTCAGAGGATGAACCCCTTTAGATTTGAATGACTGCACCATGTTTCCTCCAGGACACATGTTGAGCTCCTCTACTCTTCAGTGTGTAACAAATCAGATAAATCCTCAACATAGTGGTTGTTCTGTCCTTCAGTTTCAAGTGGATTCCTGGTTTAAGTAGAACCAGGACTTGGTTGGTGAGCCAGGTTTAACCCGTGTGTGTGTGTGTGTGTGTGTGTTCAGTATGTTGCAGTGGTCGTCAGTTTCCAGCTGTTCAGCACCTCGGTGATGGTCAGAGAGCAGCCGGATGTGCCGGAAATCCTCAAAATCCAGATGATCGATCTCAGCACCAAAATATCTCAGAGACCCGGAGCGCAGGCCTTCAGGTGAGTCTCTACCCCCCCATAGCACCACAGGTTGGATCCCCTTGTGTAGCGTCTACAGTGATGTGTTGTCCTACCTGCAGGGTGGAGGCGGCGCTGCAGCACTGGTTCGTCACAGGTCTACAGCAGCAGGGGGAGGTGCCTTCGCTCATCGCCTCGGTGGGAGACTCGTCCTCCTCGCTGCTCGACGTCGTGTTCGAGTTGAACCCCGAGGAGTCCGCCGCCGACCAGCTGCTCAGAGTCCATTCTCAGCCCGTCGAGATCATCTATGACGCAGTAAACCTCAGATCACTCGAGTCAGTTTTTTTGTGTCTGTTTGTGGGGAACAATTTCAGCGAATAGTTTTTTCTTTCCAGCTGACGGTGAACAGTGTGGTGGACTTCTTTAAGGCCGGGAAAGGTGTCGATCTGGAGGTCCTGACCTTGGCCACGCTCTCCAAACTGGAGGAGATCAAAGACAAAACTGCCACAGGTCAGTTAGAATAATGTATTAAAAGGTTTAGAGTCACAACGTTTAAATCAAGCGTTCATGTTCCCCAGAGGATGAATCTCCCTGAGCTGAAACTACAGCTGAGTCTGATTATGATTGTTATTAAAGTCTAGAGTTTTGATTTAAGTCCAGTCTGACAGTTTAGAGCTGAGTCTAACAACAGAGTCTGAATCCAGTATTTAAACTGCTTCTCCAATCAGAAACACCTTTGAGTCCCGAATTGAATCTTAAATATGTTTTGAAAATTGCAAATAACAAAAGAAAAATCAAAGATTTTCCAGTCGAGGACAATCTGGTCCTCATCAGGAGTCTGGTGGATTCTGGTTTCACTTGATCCAGTAGAAGACAATCCGGTCCTCATCAGGACTCTGATGGATTCTCATCTTTGCAGGTTTGTCTCACATCATTGAGACCAGGAAGGTCCTGGACTTGAGGATTGACCTGAAGCCGTCCTACCTGCTCATACCCAAGGCTGGTTTCTACAGCAGCACGTCGGACCTCATCATCGTAGACTTTGGCAGCTTAGAGGTCAGTTCTTATTTTTTTATTTCCAGTCAAAGAAGTTTAAAATGATTTAAAAACAAAGCTCACCTGAATGTCGTCAATGGTTTTTAATGATAGTAGCTTTACATTTTCCTGGTGCCGAGGATAAACCCCACAGCTTATTTTGTACTGAAATTAAATTTGGGGGAATTTTAGCCAAATTTCCGGGTTTGTATTCAGATTTTTGGGGTCGCACCGCTCCAATTTATTTTGCTTTGCATCCAGATGTTTTTTTATTTATTTGTTAACCCAAATTCACTTTTATATTTGAGTTTACATAATATGTGGAATCAAAGTTTTTGTTTTTAAACAACCCTAACCCTTATTTTTCTTTGGGCTGAACAGACAGAACTTTCTTTATCCCGAGGAAAATAGTTGATTTGTTGTTTTTACTTTCCAGATGTTGGTTTGATTTCACAGCTGTTTGTGTTCAGTTTGTTAGGTTTGGTTGAACACGTGTGTGTGTGTGTGTGTGTGTGTGTGTGTGTGTGTGTGCGTGTGCGCGCGCGCGTGTGTGTGTGTAGTTGAACAGCGTTGAGCAGAGCGGTTCATCTTCGTCCTCCTTCTCCTCTCTGGAGGAAATCATGGATCGAGCCTACGTGAGATACAACGTGGAGCTACGACGAGTTCAGGTGCTCTACAGCAAATCAGGTACACAACTAATACTCTCACACACACAAATACACAACTGCTTCCATATTTTATTGTTGTTGTAATTGATTTCCAGGTGAGGCCTGGAAGTCTGCTCGGCTGCAGGGTTCATCGGTCCAGCACATCCTCCAGCCGATGGACTTCACCGTCCAGCTGGCCAAGTGTATGGTGGAGAAGGACGCCAGGATGCCCAGGTACGACTTTTACCTGCGGACAGGTGTCCAATCTCTCTGCTCACTGGCCTGCATGTTATTTCAATCATATCTGGGGTGTTTGTGCGTCCAGGTTCAAGGTGTCAGGGGAGCTGCCGCTGCTGCACGTCAAGATCTCAGACCAGAAGATCCACCATGTTCTGAATCTGGTCGACAGCATCCCGCTCCCCAACATGGGCTCCCCCCCGTCCACACCCACGGAGAAGGTACACTTGGTACAGTCTGGTTGAACTGTGACCACGCCCACTGAAATGATCAGTAGCAGGTGGCTGTCGTGAGGTGTGCAGACGGCGCGGCGGACGAGGAAGTAACTCACGGACGGAGAGCTTGTAAAAGTAGTATCAGCGGAGTGTGCATAAACTAATCTGTGACTGGGCTAAGGATGGGAGGGAATAGTGATGGAGAGGAGAGTGAGGATATGGATTACAATAACTGGACTGAAGTAGGGAAAAATAAACGAGCTAGAAATCGGAATAGTGGATCTGGTGGTAGTTTGGAAGGCAGAGAGGAAGGCAGGGTGATGAGGAGGAAGATTGTTGAGAATGAGGGATTCAAAGTAATTTTGAGATTTAGGGAAGGAAATGATATTAGGAAAGTTAGTCCGGTGGCGCTGACTCGCGGGTTGAAGGAGAAAGTTGGCGAAATTTTGATGGCGAAGGTGCTGGGTGATTGCGGCTTGTTGATCAAGTGTTAGGAAGAGGAACAGAGAGAGAAAGCTATGAAGCTGAAAAAAGTGTGCAACATGGTGGTTGAGAACACTAAGAAGACAAGTGATGGGCCCTTTGTGAGAGGCGTTATATATGGCATCCCAGTGGAGGATTTGAGATCAAGTATAAGAGGTGGAAAAATTATAGGGATTAAACGTCTGCAAGCAAGAAGAGGAGGAGAAAGGGTTGATAGTTTGTCAGTGTTGCTGGATATCCAAGAGAGGGTGTTGCCTGCTAAAGTCACTGTGGGATATATGAGTTACAATGTAAGAGCTTATGTCCCACCACCTCTGAGCTGTTTCAAATGCCAAAAATATGGACATATTGCGGCAGCGTGCAAAGGGAAACAAAAGTGTGGAAAATGTGGAGGGGAGCATGAGTATGGGAAATGTGAGGATGGGACAGAGCTCAAATGTGCAAATTGCGGAGGTGCACATAGTGTGGCCTATGGTGGTTGTGAAGTGAGAAAGAAGGCAGTGGAAGTACAGCAGCTAAAAGTGAACATGAATATATCTTATGCAGAAGCAACAAAGAAGGTTCAGAGGGAGAGTAGAGTGGAGAGGGGGGGAGATATCAAGGAAGGAACCGGCTCAACAGTCAAATGAACAACTTGGGACAAAGAGTCAAAGGGGAGATGGGAATGTACTGACAGTAAATAAGGAGAGCTTTGTGTATTTCATGGCGGAAGTAGTTAACTGCACATTCCAAGCAAAAGGGAGATCTGAGAAGATTGAAATAATAGTAAAGAGTGCAGCAAGATATTTAAATATCCATGGGATAACTGGGATGGCTGTTCAGGAGGAGCTTAAAAAACAGGAACAGTTAAACAAAGAAACATGTTCACAGGACTAGTCATGATGTTAATTCTACAGTGGAATGCAAGGAGTCTGTTGGCAAATGGCCAAGAGTGTAAAGGTTTTCTTAATGGGTTAGAATATAAAGCAGATATAATATGTGTTGAAGAGACATGGCTTAAACCAAACTTAGATTTTGTGATTCAGGGATATGTGTGCATAAGAAGGGATAGAGAAGGGGGTAATGGGGGAGGATGTGCTACCTTTGTTAGGCAAGGGAGTTCTTATCGAGAAATAGAAAAAGGAATAGACCTAGAATATGTAGTTGTTGAAGTGTGGTTAGGGGATGAAAGTTTGGTTGTGGTAAATTTTTACAATCCATGTCAATGATTGGAGTTGGAAGCATTAGAGGCAATAAAGGGACTAGACAGAAGAAGGGTCATTTGGTGTGGTGATTTGAATGCGCATAGCACTCTCTGGGGAGGGGAAAAGACTGATAGGAATGGGTTGATAGTAGAGGAGGTGATGGACTCCTTGGTACTTGTATGTTTAAATGATGGGAGTTTCACAAGAGTGAATTACAAGTCAGGTAATGAGTCAAGTTTAGACCTGACCATAGCATCATGGTCATTGGCAGGTATTTGTGTGTGGGAGGTATGTAAGCATTCTACTGTTGGAAGTGATCATTACCCCATTTTCTGTAGAGTAGGAATAGGAAGTAGGGGGGGGTCAGAAGATACAGCAGAAAGGTGGGTATTTGTAAAGGCTCAGTGGGATAAATTTAGAGAAATTAATGAATCAAGGTTTAAAGATATAGATAGAGAACAGGATATAGAAATATTTAATGAAAATGTGAGAGATGCAATTATTGGAGCTGCCAATCAGACAATTTTAAGGAAAACCAGTACAAAGAGGCGGAAGTTAGGTCCATGGTGGAATGATGAGTGCAGTGAGGTAATAAAGAAACGGAATAAGGCTTTTAAGGTTTTAAAAAATACTCACAATTTCAAAAATTTAATAGAGTACAAGAGAATGCAAGCAGTAGTACGGAAAACTATCAAAGAAACTAAAAGGAAGTATTGGAGATCATTTTGTAACACAATAGGGAGAAGCACTTCAATTAATCAAGTTTGGGGGATGATAAAGAAAATGAGTGGAGTAAAACGGGAGTGGGGGTATCCAGTATTGGAAAATGGCGGAGTGGTGGCTAACAATGATGAAGCAAAGGCAGAAATGTTAGCTAAAGCACTGATTGAGGTCCATAGTTCTGGTAATATGTCAGAGGAGGGTTTAAATGGAAGACATAGAACAAGTGAAGCAAATAAAGAATTGTTGGAAACAGATGAAGAGAGGGAAGATGCAATTAATGCTCCCTTCACTTTGGAAGAAATAAAAAGGGCCATAAGAAAATCAGGGCTAACTGCTCCAGGTAAAGATCAGATTTGCTACATCATGTTGAACCTTCTGTCTGATTTAGAGTTAGAGGTGATTTTGCAATTGTTTAACAAAGTTTGGCAGGAAGGAAAATTACCAGGACTTTGGAAACCAGCAGTTATGCAGTAGTACCCATCAGAAAACCAGGAAAAGATCCCACTAATCCATCTAACTCTAGACCAATAGCATTGACTTCCCACATGTGTAAAATCATGGAGCGAATGATCACAGAAAGCCTAACGTATTATTTGGAAACAAGGAATCTTAGGTCAAAGTATCAAAGTGGATTTCGAAAAGGAAGGGGAACAATGGATCCAATAGCATGTCTAGAAGCAGAGGTGAGGAAGGCACAAGTGAGTAAGGAGGTAGTGGTAGCAGTGTTTTTTGATGTGGAGAAAGCGTATGATTTACTGTGGAAAGAGGGATTATTAATCAAAATTAGAAAATTAGGAGTATCGGGTAAAATGTTCAGATGGGTTAAACATTTTTTGTTTGGTCGATCAATAGAAGTGAGAGTGGGAAGGTGTTTGTTGGCCAGCCATTTGGTGGAAAATGGAACACCACAAGGAAGTGTGATTAGTCCTTTATTGTTCTCTATAATGATTGATGATGTATATGAAAATGTTGGACAAAATATAGGGAGATCTCTATTTGCAGATGATGGGGCACTGGAAAAGAGGTAGGAATGTGGAATATGTTGTGAAACAGATGCAGGAAACAATCAAAAGAGTGGAGCAGTGGGCATTGGAATGGGGATTTAAAATTTCAGCGGAAAAAACAAATACCCTTTTCTTTACAAGAAAGAAAATTGGAACAGAGGTCAAGTTGTATTTATATGGTAAGGAACTGAAAAGGACAGACTCGTACAAATTTTTAGGGATGTGGTTTGATGCTAGGCTCACATGGAATGTACATATTGATAAAATGGTTAATAAATGTAAAAAGGTGTTGAATGTAATGAGATGCTTGGTGGGAACAGAGTGGGGAGCTGACGGGGCTGCTTTGAAAGCTATATATATGGGGTTAATAAGATCAGTAATAGACTGGCTGTGTGGCTTATAGGTCAGCATCTAAAACATTATTGGGAAAATTAGATGTAATACAAGCACAAGCATTAAGAATATGTAGTGGGGCTTTTAAAACAACATCTGTGCCAGCATTGCAGGTAGAAATGGGGGAAATGCCATTGGAGTTGAGAAGATTACAGATAATGATGACCTATTGGGCTAGTTTACAAGGACACAACAACCATCCAACAGTAAGGGCAATTGAGACATGCTGGGAACATACAAAAACGCTAACAAAGAGCTTTGGTTGGGTTGCTAAGGAGAAGGCTAGGGAATTGGGTATATTGGATAGGAGTTATTCTCCAGCTGTGGTTCTGCCAGCTATTCCTCCTTGGTTACTGCCACAGCCTGAAGTTGATCTGGGCCTCCTTGAAGCAATGAGAGATGAATGTGGGGTAAACTGTGGGATAATCAAGTCATACATCAGGAGGAATTATCACAATTATATACAAATTTATACAGATGGATCAAAAGACCCCAATAATGGTAGAACAGCAGCAGCAGCAGTAATACCAGAATTCCAGTACGAGTGTGGGAAGAGACTGAGTGATGACTTGCCGGTGTTTGCATGTGAGATGATGGGCATAGTTATTGCATTGCAGTGGGTAGAGGACGTAAGGCCAGAGAGAGTGGTGATTGCATCAGATCCATGTGCAGTACTGACGAGTTTGTAATTCAGCCACTCCAGATGCAGAGAGGATTTATTGTATGAAATACTTCAATCACTATACAGAATCCATCAAATGTGGATAGTGGTTAAATTTGTGTGGATCCCTGCTCATGTTGGAGTCGATGGCAACGAGAAGGCGGATAAAGCAGCAAAAAAGGCTTTGAAGAGTGGGAGAAATATTGTTAAATTAAATATAAGTAAGTCAGAAGCTAAAGTGGTGATTAAGGGTCAAATCAAAAAGATATGGCAGACTGAATGGAATAAAGGGAGCAAAGGACGATATCTGTTTAAAAATAAACCATTGGTTGGGAGTGCAGGGCCTAGTGGACTATTGGAAAACATAATAATGGAATGTGTGGATTTTGTGATGAAGAGGAAACTGTGGACCATGTTTTAGT